ACATTTCGGGACTTTACTGCAGACAAACCAGGGAGATAGCAAATTGACACTATGGGACAAAAAAATGTCTTTAGCAATTACAACAGAGTTTTCAAACACTTGTAAAAACAATTTAAACAAATGCTTTGTGTGGGCAAGAAAATGGCCCTCTGACCCTACATGGTCTATGAACTTGAATTCATGTTAAAATAGTTCACATCTTTAAAAGGTGTATTTGTTTAAAAAAATAAGCACACTTAACCCTTATTCAAGATATTAAAAAGGTACATTTATAAGATAAAGACAGGTGCTTACAGTCAAGGGAAAGAAACAGGGACCTCTTACCATACACAAACATATAGTGAAGATACAAATAGAAAAAAAATATCTGCTAGAACAGAAACTGACTTGCTAACACACAGTCAGAACATCAAGCTCACAGCAACATGAGGATAGCCTAGGGTGAAAAGTGTTATGAACAATTATTAGTTCATTTCTGTAGTTAGCAGATATACAGTTAACAAGATATCCAGTGAAGTGAGCACTGCTGATATATTTTTCCTCTCTGATCTGTAACACCTGGACTAAATATATGTTAACATGCATTTATGCAGTCTCACAAAGATTACTATAAGAAGAACTAGCAAAAAGTAGGGCTGTGCTACTAAGCATATGCTTCCTGTGTTCTACAGAACTGTCAGCATTAAATAGTCAATATAGCCACGGACCAGCAAACTAGACCCTACTCTGTTGGTTTCAACAACAAAGCAGATAGAATTGTCTTTACAACTAGCAACAAAGTAGGAGACAAAGCCATACTGACTTTGAGAGAACTGTCTGCCAGCTAAAAGTACATTCTTTTCCAGGCATTTTATATACTACATAATGGAAAATACAGATGCAGGGGGTTAAACTCCCTGTTCTACTTACAGTTCCACTCCAGCATCACAGTCACTAATGAAGATTTCCTCCAGAATAAATTCTCTCCCTCCTGAAGCCATCATACTCCAAACCAAGATCTATTGACGACTTCCTTGCTTCCCTGAACAGCATCAGGCAGCTTGTTGCCAGTTGAACATCTACCTTTAATTTTCTCATTGTGACCTTTCTGTTCAGAATTAACCTGTCTGATGGAGAGGTTTCACTGAATCTAACCTTTCTACAGCTTCTGTATTTTCTAGTCTTTTCAATCATTTTTCCCTACCTGCTGCTCTTCCTCTCTAATGCACTCTCCTCCCTTCTTTGATTTTTCTTTTCCTCCACTATCCTATTACAACTTCTTTTTCTTTCCACACAATCACTTTTTCATCTTTAAAAGTGATTGCCAGCTCCATTGAAAAGCCATACTTCCCCTTCTTTTCTAAGGCAATCACATGTGATGCATTTACCTGTGATTTATAGCTCTTCTTGTCAATCCAGGTCATAGCAGTAACAGCATCCTGTACCTACTTACAACGTTGAGAGATCTTCCAAGTCATGTAGAACATATTTTGAATCACTGTCCTACATAACCAAATCTCTTCTCTTTAAACTGATGAGAGTGGTTTCAAGCCCCTACAAATCTTCTCCTAATCTCAGGACCAATATTCCTTTCTAAAATGCCTCCTGCCTTCAATCTCTCATCATGCTGTTGTTCATGAACTCTTGACCTAGATTACATCCTGGCTTTTCTGATGCCCTTACTTTTGGCAATTTATTTGCAGGATGATTCATCTTACACGGCCTGATGCAACCATTCATGGGACTTGAAGAAGCCTCTACTTTCAGGATTCCTTCTCATCATGCTATTGAATAAGCACTAGTGTAATGCTGATCTCTCAGATGTAGTGATCATCTACATGACTTCACACTGCCTCAAATGACCCTCACTGTTTCTGCCTCTAAAGCACATGCCTATCATTCATCAGTTCAAGCTAAAAAAGACCAAACTTGAACAGTGAAAGAGCACACACTAATCATCCCAAAGTAGATGTTTAAGTTAATTAAACTGAATAAGCTTTTGGTCTTTTCTAAAAAAAAAAAAAAAAAATCAAAAAAAAAAATCAAAAAAACCCCAAAACAAACAAACAAGAAGCCAAAACAAAAGGCCTCCTAACCCTTTACTTATTAGAATTAGCAGGTACAGCACCACCATTGTAATTCCCACTATTCTGTCTGCATTCTAGTATAATCTTCAACTGTTGTAGACCCACAGCCAATATTACTAATTCCAAGATCCAATTTTTGTTCCTCACCTCCTTAGCATAGGTTTTGGATTAACTTGGCTCTGTGGACAAAATTTGTCTTTCTACAAAACATCCTGGAATCCATTTACAACACTGTGGCAAAGCTTAGCCTTCCCACTCTTAACTTCAATTAGCATATCCCCCTTTCTCATTTTTTCCCCTTATCCATACTGTAAGATAAATAACTTTGTGTTCTTCACCACTGTGTGTATTAAATTTTAATACATCCTTGGTTAGACCTTCTTGTGATATTCTCTGTGTATATGGCAAAAGGCTGCCAACTTCCCCTCACATATCATTGTTGACAGCAGCCTCTCTTATACATTATTTGCTTTTTCCAAACTGGGGTAATTAAGTCCAGAAACATAAATTCAGCTGCATACTTTATATAGGAATTGTATTTGTAATTGTACATGTAATTTTAGCAAGTACAGTGTAACATTAACATGATGCAGTACATATTCTGAAATCTGACACATCATCATCTCTACTTACTGCCTGCTGTTCTTCTTAACCCTAGACAGCAAACGAAGCAAGGGCTTTTTACAGAAAGTAAACTTGAAATACACAAATAAAATCTGTGCTTATGTCTTGGGAGTTTCTGTGTTTTTAATATTGAAATAGAACTTGCTGAGATCACAATAATGAAATTCTAGAATAATATACAAAATATTACAGGTCAGCATATCTGAGACTGAAGATATAACCTCAGTCTGAATAGAACTATTAGAGTACAGGGTAATAGCTTTACATTAGTACTATGCATTGAAGAAACTTTCTCAATAACTCAGTTTACTTGTAATCATTTAGCAACTACACTCTTTTTTCCACCACATTTCTCCCTACCCTCACCCCTCCTCAGACTCCCAGATTAATTTTTTTTCCATCTCTTCCTTTATTGGCACAATGACGTGAATTTGCACAGTGCTTTTGTTGGCAGCTACAGGAACCTTCTTTAAGGAACTCGTTATGTAGGGTATCTACAGTTGTAACAGTTGCACTTTACAATTTAAATACCCTACTGGGAAATTCCAATATAGCTTAAGAACATGCATAATGTCATAGATGATTACAAATACAGATACTACTATGAATTGCCCAATGAAGAGTCTAAACTTCTGCAGCACACATCATAAACTCGCTAAGGACTGCTAGAATTAAGATTATGTTTGCAGATGCACTACAATTCACTTTGCTAGACCCATGTACCGCTTGTAAAGGTTCAAGAAAACCCTGTTTAGTGGACAATGGTAAATTTTGTAACTGAAGTAAGAAACCCTTTAGAAAGATTCACATGCCTATACAGCTGAACTGGACAGGTACACCTGCTTTTGTTTGTCACCTTAGTCCTTATAATATATGGATGCCCAGAAATCTGAGAACACATAAGCACATATGCACTGATGTTTAAAAAGTATATATGCACATATTTTAAAAGTATTAAAATAATTAAGCCAACAATAATGTTCCATTCAGGGTTTCACCTACACTACCTGAAATCAATCACCATGATAATTTTACTAGATTTTTAAAGTGTTACATTTATAATGCCTTTTTTTAAGAAAAATAATATTGGTCAAGCAGTCACAATATTAAGACTGTATGAAGGTCTTACATGCACTTTAGATGTCTCATCTCATTCCTAGTGAACCAAAACTTATAAAATTATGAACTGACATTTGTTTAGGAATTAGGGCTTTACAGCAGTTCAGTGGACATATTCTTTACAGTAATTAAATGTCAGAGAAAAGAATCCAAATAAACAAAATATTACCAATAATTTATATGTTCCATCAACTTTTCTCAGACGTGCATTTCTCTGCAAATACTGATTAGAAGTCTTTAAAGTTGGGGGGGGAAAACATTTCCAATGAATGTGAAAGATTAGTCATTGTTTATACAGTATTTATGTACTGTGTCACTAGATTAGCACTATGTGTTACTATTTAACTATATAGATTAATTATTTCAGGGCTTAGTGGGTGTTCAAAGCACACTTATTTTCTAAGGACTACTCTGCAACTAAGACTTTGCCACATATGCTTTGGGAATAGCTCATAGCACTGAAGACACAGCATTAAGAAACAAATGCACTACTTACAGGCAAATTATTCGTCATCATTTTGACTTCCTTCAGTACTATCATTTTAATAACACAAAAAATAAACACATTTACTAATGAAAAAGTTGAAAAAGGAAACTAGGGATACAGGGCTCACGCAACAGTTATGCTTGTTCATATATTACAATTCTTGTTGTAAAAAGACAAATGGATATCTGATAGGATTAAAAAGGTATACAGTTGAGACTTTTGTTTGTACTCTTTCTCTTTTGTAGAGAAGCAACTTTAAATCTGTACTGATAATGGAAGAAGCAATCCAATATTATTTCACCTAGTTTAAAAATAGCCCTTTTCATTTCAAAATGTTTAATATGAACACATAGTTTACACACATTATGAGAATAATACTGCAATATGCAAAATATAATGATTACTTACTCAAGTTTACCAAACTGGTACTTGAACGAACAAGAAAAAACACACACTGAAGTATAGATGACTACTGTTTGCCCTATTCTCTCAAGAAAAAATACTTATCTCTTAGCATATACTGCACACATATGCATAAAGAGATCCACAAACCTATAAAAATATGTGGTCACCCACAGTATAGAAAATTTGCAGTTACGCCTTTCTACTCCACTAATAAATCAATGTAACTCACTAGTAAGTGACGTAAACATAGCCAGGACAGAAACAAATTAATATGTTTCTAAGAACCTCCAAACACTCACCAAAAGACTGAATGCAGGTTTCAAGAAGATCTTCCAAAGTGGCCCCTTTGGCTAAGTGCCCCAACGGCACCATCGTGACCTGGGTAAGGTTTGAAAGGCTGGGACAATGACTGATCTGCTTCAGCTCAAGTCCTGATTCAGGGGCAGTGCTGCATGCTTGGGCAGGTTGCCTAAAAGAAAGCACAATGGTGAAGAAAATACAAGAAGATAGAGTGGTAAATTTTACACTGCATGGGAAAGGAGGAGAGATTTAGAGGACAATTAAGTCTCTCTAGCTAGGGTGCTCAAAGGCGTAACCCTCCCACTTAATAAGTCCACCAAAGAGACTGCTCAATAAGTTACTTTTTTTTTTTTTCTGCTAAATGTAGATTGCAGAGGACCCAGTTGTAGAGCTCCTTGAATGGACTGCCAAGATTACCAACATTCTTGTTTCTTTGTTGGGGAGTTATGCTTACATTATAATTTCAGCACAAGCATAAACATCCCTCAAACTATGCAACAGGAATATTTTTGTGCAGTAATCTATTACCACATATTTGTGTGCCCACCAAAAGGAAAGGAGAAAAAAATTATAACTATAATCAAATATTACACACATCAGAAAACACCAGACTAGCTTTATTAATTTCATTTGGAAAATCACTATTAAGTAGCCAAAATTTCAGTGCAACTTTACAGTGGAGTATTTCACAATTTGCATCTGTTCTATACTATTACTTCCTACCAAGTTGTTTTAAAATTGCATATATGACTAAATTAATGTCTTCAACAATAAAGATAAAAGAGACTAAAATAAAGCACGTATCTAGTTTTAGGCTCATATTTTGATCATTTAACATCTTAGATTTCAAGAACGTGTATGTTTACAGCCTTTAATAAGGCTATTCATCATCTGCACACAAGTCCCTAATTCTGTATGAAATAGTAAATAGGCACATTATTATATCAATTAAAAGTGCTGAAACATTTTTGCCTACAAATAGCAGGAATCACCTCAAAATCTGACTTGAGAGTATAAACATACAGTTCACAAAAGGGCAACAACAACTGCCGTTTCAATAACACTTGGATTTATTTCAGGGACAATTTACACTCCACAGTCTTCCTAAACAAGTGACTCCAGCATCTTTAAGATGCTATCTCAAGCTTTCATACAACTTTCTTGCAACACTATGCAAGACTTTATTAATAAATGGTCAGTCCTGGGAAGAAAAGGAATAGAAATTTATCCAATATGCATATTACAAAGAGATAGGGAAGGCAAAGACACAAACATCTTCGCCCATGCACCCCTGGATGAAGCTGGAAATATACACGCCCTGTGAAGACAGACTGGACCCTACCTCATCGCAGTGAGGTTCAAGGCTTACCTCAAATTTCTGTCTCATTTGAATGCTGGGAAAGCCACAAACCTGCACATTATGTCGCTTACAACCCAACACTGACCCCAGGCCTCCACAGCTTCAAAGGTGGGAAAATAGAGGCCTGACCCTGCAGAGGTGGTGACCATCACTCAGCTCCTCCGCAGTTACGCTGACAGTGGCTATGCAAAGAATGCTCTCTTCCCTTCCCCCTTTCTCTAAATTTCCCTCTTAGCTTTGTGATCTGACTTCCTGTTCTCATATAAAAAGAGCGAGGGCCTGATCAGCTTTCAGGGTTTTCTTTTTACAAGCTTAAAGCCCTCTCCTAACTTTATTCGTGTATCTTCGATCCAGGGCAGAGGATCCTAGCAATGCAGCAGTGAGGAGGAGTTACGGAAGAGGATATTTTAGGACTTGGCAAAAGAGTGTAGAAAAACTCAAGTGTCCACACCCCCAAAAAAGTTTACAGTAACACTGTGGCCGACTTGGCAACACAGGACAGGCAAAAATCAGCTGGTGACAGGTCGGAAACTAACCATTCATTAGAACAGATGCCCTCGCAGCAGTTACTTGACAGGAAAAATAGATTAAAGCTGTGCTGGGGGGCGGAGGGAAGCGCAACCTGCACTTCCACCGCACCCGATTTGGCGGTGGGGAAGAAACCACAAACAAACCATCATCAACCCGTGAAGCGATCCCCGGAGTGGGGGGGACGACAACCCGTGAACCGATCCCCGGGGTGGGGGTGGACAGCCCGCTCCCCGG